ACCCAGTCGCTGAGAAGGCTGTCCGTGAACTTGAGGAAGAGCTCATCAGACAAGAGCCCGGTGGCAGACCAGTAAGTGCAGTTGGTCTTGCTCTCGCCACTGGCCGTCTTAACTCCCGTCTTCGCCTTCCTGCCCTATCATCTCGCGAGTTGTGGACTCAACGCAATCAGTTCACCCACGAACAGTTGCCGTTGTCTGATTACGACCTCATACTTGGTAAACACGAGCAACGTTCCACTAACCTTGCCTCCAGTGAGAAGTCTAAGAACCCCCGCGGTCTTGTTCCAAACACGCCTTCACTACAGGTTGGCGACATTGTATGCCTCATTTCCGATAAGGACAAGTCTCGCGCGCATGATCGCTATATTGTGGTTTCCATCGACTTCCCTTGGTGCTTCGTTAAGACGTTCAGTGGTTCACAACTGAGGGCCACCTCCTACAAAGTCAAGTTGTCCGAGTGTTACGCTACTTCTCCCTCCGTTATGGTGGCCGATCATTCTGGTCCTCCGGCTTCTCAAGACCAGGATGATGAGCCTTCTCCGGTAACCCCCGCTGTGCCTGCTGCCTCAGTATTACCAGAGTCACCTCCTCCCGCGCCGCCTGAGCTTACCTCGGTACCGTCTGACGAAGAGCAATTCCCTTCGTCCACGTGTGATGACACTACCCTTGAAGCCCCTATTGGCGTTCCCTCACTACCTGTTCTACAGGGGGAGCCCAGCACCAGTGCGACAGCCCCAGATCAGGCCCTGCCGTCCTGTCCCAGTTCTTCTCCTGAGACTCCTGGTCCAAGACCTCAGAGACAGCGCAAACCACCTTCGTACTTAAATGACTATGTTATATTTTAGCCTTTGCGTCGTTAAGTTTTATCCTGCAGCGATAAGTTTTAACATGCAGTGACTGTTAGGCCTTAGTCTGTTTGTTATCAGGTTTTGTTTTCCATTATGACACTATATCTTTCGTCTCGGTTCTAACCTTTTAGGTAGTTTGCATTCATTTACGCTGAAGACGAGGTTGCGCCAACAGGCAGTGCCTGCGGCATTGTGTTATATTATATGCGCGCGCCGGTTTTCCCTCGTGTGTGTGATTATCGCATCCATCTTGTTGTACGAGCGATTCCGTTGACATTAAAGCTGTTAGAGTTCCTTCGTTGTGACGTTCCTGTCTCCTCAACATTGGCGGAGTTCATAATCCCGTGAATATGAAAAAGAACATGAAGACGTCTTAATTTGATTGCAAGTAGAATAAATTAAGACTGCTGTGTAACATTATATTTTTGTCGTCAGAGGCTTAAGTGTGGTGTTGCACAAACTACAGTCAGCTCTGAGATGGAAACTATTGGGACTGGCACAAAATGTCTGTATTAATGGACAGGTGTAACTCTTATAGAGAGTAAAAGAAAATGACTGAAGAATAGTAGGGACCAACTCGATTTCCTGGAGGTGCCTCATCTTTTGATTGTATTACTGTATAATACTTCTAGCATTATATCCTCCCTCTTACTACTATATATTGTAGACAAGGAAACAGGAAAAATTTTTTGAATCAAGTTTGATTAAGCCTGGCTGCAGTTAATAAATTTAACCAAGAATGAAATTGAATCATACTGGACATGAAGTATACAAGTGTGCTAGGGTTGCTGGTCACACTAAAAAGTTTGTTTTCAATGGTTTAATAGCTGTTACAGGCCATTTGTGTTTCATTTGTGCATAATTCTCTATAATTTTCTTGTTTGCAATATACTTTTGAATTTGTATATTATATAAATGTTTTATGTTGTATCTGTAATATATATAACAATTATTCACCGAAGTGGAGGTGGCTAGTGGTGGTATCTACCGAGGCCGCGTTAGCGGCGAGGTAAATATCCACACCACCAGCCATCGACACTGAGGTGAATAATTGTTTCAGTGTATACTAAAACAGTGAGATAATTGAGCACAAAAATGATGACTTTTAACTCATTTACTGTTGCCTGCAACGATTACAATTTTGGCGCGCAATGACCGAACGGCCGCGGTCGTCGCTTTTTCTTGCTGACAAATAAAACTTTTGAAGGCATTAAATTGTTTAGCTCTAGCGGGGAAATTTCCTCAAAAGGAGTTGTGAATTCTTTTCGTATTTAAAATCATTCTGTAAAAAAAAGATTATTAAATTTAGTTTTAAGCTTATTTATGAACAAGTCAAGTAAATAAAGTAACGCAAGACTTAAGATTAATTTGCATTTGTAAACAAAAAACTTTTTCTCCGGTTTTATTGATAAATTCGAGTCAAAAAGACAAAGCTTTACCTGTTAAAACTTTCACCCCGAACTTCGTCACCTTCTTCGTGTATTTCGGGAACAGCGTGCTTGATTAGTTGTGAAATTTCTTTGTTTGTTTACGGCAGCAAACCGGAAGGCATTTTGCTCGCAACTTACGCGAGTTTGGCGTCGCTCGCTCGGAGGAACTGGAGGTGAATCAGTGAATAGTGCAGGATATTTACATTTTCATGAGGAAAGGGTAATTAACATGACGCGATCTCAGTGTCAATTCCAAGCGTGCCCATCTCCCCCGGACATTTTTTAGCCTGCGAAAACATCCGTTTCTCCACGCTCCGTTTGTGAGCAATTCTCTAATATTGTAATGTATTAGGTTAGGCGCGCTTAATAGAACGGGGTCGCTCATAAGAGTGGAGGCGCTTATTGGAATGGGGGCGCCTAATCATTACGGTAATGATGACACTATTTCTTAAAGGTCAGGTCTGAAAACGGGTGTGAATAACGACGTTTTTTGGTCTGAAATAGGGTCAGAATTTGGAGATCCGGACGGCACACCCCCATCAAGAATTCCCCAGAGTACCGCACAGGGCTTTTTCTCCATATAAAAAACAACAACAACAACAAATCTAATCTAATTCGTATACATGACATATAAAACGGTGGTTACGCAATCTTCATGCCGTATGTTGGTGTAGAGGCGAAGCTCTGAAGGTCAGAAAACGTATTTTACGACTGAGTGCAGGATTTGTGTGTTGCGCGCCGCCAATTTTTAAACCAAGTTAGGAAGGAGGGAGAAATTGACTCAAAGAGTGAGGAAGAGGGAGATTTACTCTCCTGTACCTCCCCCCTCCCTAGGCCTAACTCTATTCTATAAGTAACCAAGGTGAAGGAACTCACTGTAAACAAGATTATTTTTTGCTAGCTGTTTAATCTTTTAGTCACTCACATAATAGAAATAGAACGCTACAAAAGGTCAGTTAATTAAAATGTAAGTTGATGTGACAAGCTATAGGAAGGCATTAGCCTAAAGAAGCTGTGGGCTCTGTCCTTTATAATACTGAAAAAGCTGGTAATTGTTTCTGCTCCAACATGTTAGTCTCAAAAGAAGTGAATTCAAATAAGTCAGAATGAAAAAATCTCACCAAATTCAGAAGGCTTGAATTTTGCGATCAAAAGAGAAAACTAAATAATCTCGGTGAAGGAGCATACTAAATGATCGATGGAGGGTTGAAAGGTTGGCAACAGGCCGGCCCGTAGGCAGCTATTTTTTTTTAGGGAGGCTTCCGTCAAGGTGGCTGTCAACTTGTTGCACAAACACAGGGCTCGTGTAATTAAGAATTTCTTAGCTTTTTGAGGTGAGATTTTACTTTTCCAGTAGTAGAAAGGACCATTAAATTACCAATCAGTGCGACAGCCTAACATTTTTTAGCTGCCCGGTTTTCAAAAAAAAAACCAGACATATTTCTACAAATAGAAATAATAATAATAATAATGATAATAATAATGATAAAAACTCAGAACCCTGATGTGAACCGTAGATGAACTGCGACAAAAAGTTGGAAACTTTCGCTCTATACTTTTAACTAAGATTAAATCCAAGTAATCAGGAAAACGTTTCAAGCACTAGTGAACGCACCATCCTCTTCTCCGCCAGCATTCGACTCCTCCTTAGGTTCTACAAGAAACAAGAGGACAGCAATAATAATAATAATAATAATAATAAAATTAATAATAATAATAATAATAATAATAATAATAATAATAATAAGGCCTAACTCTATTCTATAAGTAACCAAGGTGAAGGAACTCACTGTAAACAAGATTATTTTTTGCTAGCTGTTTAATTTTAATCTATAGCCTGAGTATGTGATAGTCCATTTTACAGTTTTTAGTCACTCACATAATAGAAATAAAACGTTACAAAAGGTCAGTGTTAATTAAAATATAAGTTGATGTGACAAGCTATAGGAAGGCATTAGCCTAAAGAAGCTTTGAGTTCTGTGCTTTATAATACTGAAAAAGCTGGTAATTGTTTCTGTTGTAACATGTTAGTCTCAAAAGAAGTGAATTAAAATAAGTCAGAATGAAAAGATCTCACCAAATTCAGAAGGCTTGAAATTTGCGATCAAAAGAAAAAGGGCATACTAAATGATCGATGGAGGGTTGAAAGGTTGGCAACAGGCCGGCCCGTAGCCAGCTATTTTTTTTTTAGGGAGGCTTCCGTCAAGGTGGCTGTCAACTTGTTGCACAAACACAGGGCTCGTGTAATTAAGAATTTCTTAGCTTTTTGACGTGAGACTTTACTTTTCCAGTAGAAAGGACCATTAAATTACCAATCAGTGCGACAGACTAACATTTTTTAGCAGCCCGGTTTTCAAAAAAAAAAAACCCATATATATTTCTACAAATAGAAATAATAATAAAAATAATGATAATAATAATAATAATAATAATGATAATAATAATGATAAAAACTCAGAACCCTGATGTGAACCGTAAATGAACTGCGACAAAAAGTTGGAAACTTTCGCTCTATACTTTTAACTAAGATTAAATCCAAGTAATCAGGAAAACGTTTCAAGCACTAGTGGACGCACCATCCTCTTCTCCGCCAGCATTCGACTCCTCCTTAATTTCTACAAGAAACAAGAGGACAGCAATAATAATAATAATAATAATAATAATAATAATAATAATAATAATAATAATAATTATAATTATAATAATAATTGCTATTAGTTGATTTACAATTATAAAGAAGTCACGTTACCCATCTCCTAAAGGTGTAAGAGTAATACAATGATAATACAATTAATTCGCTTGAAAAAAAGAAAAAAACTATTCATTCAAAACACTATTTACAATTCCTGTCGATTTAAAAAGCACTTAATTTAGCTTAGAAAGAGTTAATTTAACTAAGAAACGTTATTCGAATTAAAAACATTTCATTTCAGTTAAAAAAATTGTCAGCCTCTAAAATTCAAAAGTTTCTTTCAAAAAAAAAAAAAAAAAAAAAAAATAATGATAATGACAATAGTAGTAAGTTAACAATTAATGAATGAGGCTGAGTATCTTATGAGGAATTATCATCTCCACAATTTTTCATATGATTCGAAAGCAGAATTCAATAATTGTTTTATTATTCATTGAAAATAATTCCTAGTTTAAAAACATAGCTAAAACATGCTTACCTCTATCGATGTTAAGTTCATCTTCGATAGTGCACGTTTAGGGCTGTTCAGCTCCGCAAATATTCTCCAAATAGCAGATGTCGCCCTTCGAGTTGTCTTCTTGCTGTTCTTGCCATGTTTTTAGCTATTATTTTGCCTAGTTCTTACTCTTGAAACGAGTGAAATGTCCGCC